CGAGTCCCGACAGGCGGCAACACGGCCTACGACGGGGTTGCCGCCTACTACCGTGGCCCCATAGGCGCCAGGCCCGCGGCTGCTGGAGCAGCCGCCTCCAGCTACGGCCACGCCCCCCATGCTAGGGTACACCCAGCGGCCATCGGCTACCCGCGTGCACCCGTGCAGGCCCTAAGGGCCACCTCGCCAGTGCCAGGGTCTACGCGCGCCTGGGGCCTTTACTCAGGCCGACAGGATGGCTCCTCCAGCAACCAGCCCGCAGTGATAACCCCTGCGGCTTCAGCCCAGGGGGCTGCGACAAACCGTGGCAGGGCTGGGCGCCCCGAAGGATGGCGTGATGCGAACGTGCGCGCTTGGCAACCTCGCCAGCACACGCCCCCGCCAAACGTAGCTGCAGCACTGCGCCCTGCCAGGCAAAACCTGCCCCACCTGAGCGGGAGAGGCAGCCGCTTACCCCGCTCGTCCTCACGCACATCCAGGCGCATCACAGCGCCTCCCCGCGGCACAGCGAGGGAAGCGCCCACCACGTCAGCCCCCGCCCCGACGCTGTCGACCCCGACCAGGCCACAGCCACGGCGGAAGGCGGCACAAGCGCCTCTCGCCAGCCCAGCCCATCACCCTGCGCGGCGCCGATCCGATCCCCGAGCAGGGCGGATTCCGAGCGCGCTAATGCCCAGGCGACCTCGCCACGCGACCGCCACACGGGCGGGCGCGTCCCGCGCAGCAGGACCTGCAGCCGCCACTGTTCACGCAAGGCCCCAGGGAGCTCCACGAGCTCGCCGCCTCGCGAGACTCAGGCCGATGGCCGAGCCCCCGAAGTGGTGCCACGTTTCGGAGCCAGCGTCATTGATCCTGGCCAGGTCGACCTCTCGCCGACGCCGTCCACGGACCACGAGCCGCCGCTGCTCACCCGCGTGATCGTCCCCATCGACGAGGCGCCAACCTTCGACCCGTTCAAGAACAAGTACCGTGTCAAGAACCTTGTGGCGGGTTTCGGCGGTGGCTCACCGCTCTCACCTCAGAGTCGGGGCGGAGCCCCCGCCACCTCAGCTGCTGCCGCGGCAGCGGCGGCCCCGCGGGGAATCAGCC